CCCAAATGTCCATCCACAGATAACTGGATAAAGAAGATGTGGTATACTTATACAATGGAATACTACTCAGCCATAAAAACCGACAACATAACGCCGTTTACAGCAACATGGATGTTCCTGGAGAATGTCATTCTAAGTGAAGTAAGCCAGAAAGAGAAAGAAAAATACCATATGAGATCACTCATATGTGGAATCTAAAAAAAGAGGAAAAAAAACATAAATACAAAACAGAAACAGACTCATAGACATAGAATACAAACTTGTGGTTGCCCAGGGGGTGGGGGGTGGGAAAGGGACAGACTGGGATTTCAAAATGTGGAATAGATAAACAAGATTATACTGTATAGCACAGGTAAATACATACAAGATCTTGTGGTAGCTCACAGCGAAAATAAAAAAAGTGACAATGAACATATGTATGTTCATGTATAACTGAAAAATAGTGCTCTACACTGGAATTTGACACAACATTGTAAAATGACTATAACTCAGTAAAAAACTGTTTAAAAAATAAAATTAAATTAAAAAGCAAGTGACAGCTAAAAAGAATCAATTGCTCATAGAAGACAAACACAACACAATCAAAACTGATAAAGTAATCAGCAAAATACAAGCACCTATACCAATAGCTACAGGGGATATGAAATTTTTTATTGCACTGTTCACTGCTGTCTAGCTATTGTCTCACCATCTACTAACTGCAAAAAGGCAGGCTGTTTAATTTTGTATCGTGGTAATATCTCCTAAATGATTCTGGGTGCATCTTTTCACTTAGATCTTAGCATGGATACAGGGTGAACTTCCTTCTACCAGTTCATGATTGTGTGTCTCTGATAAGCTGGTTGTGAGTTATGGAGGATCCTGCTTGTTTCAAGTCAATTATGAGCCCAGTTTGTGCTCAGGGCACTCCTAGGCAGCACAGCTCAGCCCAGACAGCCCTGGTTCAGCACACTATCTTCAGCTGCAACATGGGTGCACTGGATAAAAGCTTCTTTGTGGGGCACTTAGGCATCTGCACAAACGTGGTAAGTCACTTTAGCCACTGGAAGCCCGTGTTGAAGATGCTATAGCTGTTTGAGAAAAAGGATCATGAAATACTTTTATCAGTAACCACGCAGTGGGAAGCAGTTAATGAAAACATCTTGCTTCATTACAAGTCGATTTAAACACTATCCTCGGAACTCAGTGAAAACAAAGCTCTACACAGAAAGATGACTTGAAACAACTAAGTTTTACTTTATTTTCCCAGTCCAGCTTCTTTTTCTGTTAAAGGTCAACTTTTATGTAATATCTGATATGACATTGAGAAGGGTAGAAAATACACAGTCCCTCTTACCTATTCTGCACAAGGGAGAAATGACTGAGGCCATTGTGTCTTCTTCCCTTCCCTTCTCTGAAATCAGTGGTCTAAGCACTTGAGGGGCTGACAACTGCAGGTGCAAAACGCCCTGAATCACAGGTGCAGCTTGCATTTCCTTTCTCTGTGACCTTTCAGGTCAAATGGTTCGCTTGCTTTGACCACAAATACAGCTCTTCTTAATTTCTCCAGCACAACCTTAACTTGATATGAAGCACTTAAACACAAGAAATGGTGCAGACAAGAAGGCAGTTTATTGTACTTTGGAGGGGAAAAACATGATTCCATTTAGGGAAAAAAAAAAAAAAGAGCCATTGACACTCAGCAACACTGCCATCTAGTGGAATTGTGACACACCACCAAGACTTTCAAGACCAGGAAGGAAATGTGAGTGGATTTGCTGGTTTAAATTTTCACCAAAAGCCGGCACTTTTAAGAATTTGGTTTTCAGAGAATCTCAGATTTGGAGAAACTGTTTTTATCTTTGAAATGCATAAATGAATGTGCTTTTTCTGATTTTGGGGGGGTAAAGAATGAGGTTTTTTTTTTAACAGACCATGAAATCCATTCTTGATTTCAAAGTTATGAAACATTTTGGAACAACCCGCCTCTTTGAACACCCATCATTCTTGCACTCTTGTTGGACAATCTAAAACAGCAACCCCTGATTATGACAGTTTATAAAGAAGCAAAACTCAACTGTACAAGAACTACATCAAGTTTACTCATTTCCTCTATTTTTACAATCTAAGGTGCTAAGTATTGCGCTTCACTTACTTGAATTCCTGGCAAAAAGCATTAGAACGCATCAGTTAACACTTTTGCATAAATCACATAACCCAACTCTTATCATGACTACACAATAACAGTGGAAGATATTGGTGTGAGGATATGGGAATGCTGTTCTTAATGAATAATAAAGTCATTCTTCTCAAGGCTTTAATTCTCCTTTATACCCAGGTGTTGCAGTAAATGTGTTGATTTGATGACTTCTACGAGCACATAAATGAGAATATTTAATGAAACACCTGGCTGAAAAAAGAAATAAAGTTGTGAGAATAACATATTGTTAATAGCCACAATCTCGAATTGGCATCTCTTTTATTACTCAGATTTTAGATTCTGGGTTAAGTGCTCTGCTCTTTGGAACATTCACAATGGCTATTGATCTTGCTAATGAGTTCCTCACAGCAACATTTCTGGATGCACGGTTGGAGGCACTCGTGGATTCTAGGATGCATGAGTCTGACATGGTTTCCTCAAACCATGTTCTTGGCAAATAATAAACTCAGTGAAGGATTTCGAGAAGAGCCAAGTTCTGGGAAAGAGGTATACAAGTGTAGAGTAAGAAGTTGAATTAAAACATCTTTAAGTTGCATTTTGTCAGCAGACAAAACTGGGTGTTTCAATTCTGAGAACCTGAGACTGTCCAGGACAGCAAAATTCTGAGTGTAGCATGCACCCTATCACAAAGTCAGAACCCAGGGTCCTGTGTTTCCCAAAACAACATGAATTGGGGAAGTAGAGGTGGTCCCTGAAGTACTATAGCTGAATGAGGTTATTCTTTTGAGGGTGGTCCAGATTGCCTCAGTGTTCACCACAATTTACAATAACGCCCCCACCCCCAGTCTAAAGCCTTCCTTCACCACATACTCAAGTCGACTGCATCTTTCACATGATGCTACCATACTTGGTTACTCCTGAAGCTAAAGCAGTGAAAGATGCTAGGGGAGCCTTACAGTAACTCAAACACAATGCCAAAGTCATCTCCAAAAAAGTTTATTAGCGTGATTAAAAACATTTTCTTGAATAATGACAGAATTCCTAAACATGAGAGAGTATCAGAGGCTACATCTTATAACCAATATTTGCGATTGCATGGACAGTTTTATTGCCAGTCTCTTCATTTTATTAAAAACAATCCGTATTTACTGGTTCCATGTGAAGTCATGACTATTGCTTTGACCGGGAATGAGTCCCTACTGCAATTAAGTATAAAAAATATCTTCCATAATTGGAGTGTGACCTGCATTGCCGGGTAGAGTTGATAAAAATCCTCAAAGAGTGGGGTTTTTGTTTTTTAAAAACATCCCTTTACACACTACAAAGAAATAATTAGTATTTTGGCTTTTTAAATTCCTACATGATATTGAGAATGGCAGTCCCCAAAGGTCCTCCCTTCACATAATCGCGAACGCAGACCCTCTTCCAGAGCATACATTCTTGGGGTGGACTCTGAGGACTTCAACCTCCTCGTGCTTACACTGGTTTGAGCACAAAGACGGCGTCATCCAGAACGTAGTAGTCATTGTACATGTCGCCTTCACACAGGTACGGCAGTCTGGTAAAAGCCTCGATAGCAAAACCAGCTTTTCTGAAAACTTCAGGCAGACTGTTCACTTGTTCTTCCCAATTCTGTCCCTTGATTTCCAAAATTTCTGACGGCTTATCCCACTTGCCACCTACTAAAACAAATAAAAATATTAAGTTAAATTCTTGAACAAACAAATCACTTAAAGACAGAAGAGAAGAACAATATTAGCCAAGGACTTGGTACGTGCCAAGCACTGGGTGCCTTGATGAACCAGCTCCCAGATACTCTGGAGGCTGGAGGGCAAAGAGAGGAGTACAGACTTAGCAGGGCTGAAGAACGGGCCGGAGCTTGCAAGGTTAATGAACATCGGAGCACAATGTAATCCTTGGTTTAACTGGATCCAAAGCCCACACTACACTTTTCTTTAAAACTGTCATTCAGATATCCCCCTCCCTTGTACTGACTGAGGTGGAATGGTTAATAGATTTGGAAGACTGCTCATTAACTACTGGAATACTGAAGCAGAGAGAAACATAAAAACTGAAAGAGAGTTTTGGATAAATGCAAGAAAATGCCACTAATATAGTAAAGTTAGGCACCATATTAACTGGAGAGGCTTACCAGGCTGAAAATAAAAACAGGATATGAAGGATTTCAACTTCTAAAAACAGACCATTCACTGTTTTTCAAGGGAGGTTAACGTACTCACTAACTTTTCAGAACAATTTCATAAAAGTCAAACGCCAGAACCAGAGAGGGGTTACAACACTAGAATGGAGAGTCAACCTAGCATTTCTTGCAACAGTTAACTCAGGTCTATGTTAGTCATTTCCAAATCCATGAGCATCAGATGCCCAGGAACTGGGGGGCTAGATAAGGTCTTCAAGTTCATATAGAAACATCAAGAATCGACTACAGACAAACACACACATACATAATGGTATATGTAAATTTGGGGGTGCTTTTAGATGTTATGGTGATGTAAAAAAAATTACACAGTAAGATTAAAAGTGTTACTAAATTCAGATTGAGAGTAACTTTCTGCAAATGAGAAAATATATAATCAACAGGTGTCAAGAGTACAAACACTACAGTGGAAAGATTTTTCATTCTTTTTGGGGGTCCAGCACCCCTCTTCCTAGATAAGAGTCCAGGTGGGAGGCAAAGCCTGGAGAAGCAGCTTTCCCGCCTTTCTTGAAGCTAAGGCACGGGCACATGACCTACGCTCAGACACACTACCTTGAGACCTGGAATGCGGAGCTAGTGACCCAGAGAAGTGAGGACGTGAGGCTTGTTCTCTGGGGAGGCGTGAGACCAAGCGGCAGGGGCAGTGTTGAGCGGTACTAAGGACAGACTTTGGTCCAGGGCACAGCTAGTGCTTGGCGGTGGCAGTGTGATCTTCAGATCGGTTTTACAGTGTGTCTGGGGGCATTTTTCTTGGCTGTAGACCTGATACACGATTCCCCAGTCCTCCCAGTGACTCTCTTCAGCTACCCCAAAATCCTTTCAATAAATTCCCTTTTTGCTTAAGTCAGGCGGAGTCAGTTTCCGCTGCTTACAAAGAATGAAGATGAAGCCTCCAAGAGCAGAGGGAGCCAGGGCTGGGGTGAGGGACTGGGGATGACAGATTCCACACATTTGTTTCACAGCACAATAAAATAAAAGAGGTCACACAAAACTGGGGCACAACTAGTTAATGACACACAACTTATTTCTTCATTGCACCATGATGTACTGTTCACAAATTACTCTCGTCTCTATTTGATGACCCTTCCTTCTGCTTCTCAATCTCCAGCAGTTACTGGCTCAGCACTAAGCACACAGTAGGTGCCCCAAGACCAGCGACTGAACTGCTCTGGAAATTTAAAGTATGAATTATCTGTCAAACAGTACTTCCTGGGGGAACTCTAATTGGAAAAGATATATGTAACCCCAGTGTTTACTGCAGCCCTATTTACAATAGCCAAGACAACCTAAACATGGAAACAATCTAAATGCCCATTGACAGATGACTGGATAAAGACATTGTGGTATACATATACAATGGAACACTACTCAGCCATAAAAAATAATACCATTTGCAGCAACATGGATGGACTTGGAGATCATCATTCTAAGTGAGATAGGTCAGAAAGAGAAAAAAAATACCGTATATCACTTATATGTGGAATCTTAAAAAAAGACACACAAAAAAACTTACTTACAAAACAGAAATAGACTCACAGACACGGAAAACAAACTTGTGGTTACCAGGGAGGAAAAGGGGTGGGAAGGGATAAATTGGAAGTTCCTGATCTGAACTACTAGTCAGCAGATACTAACTACTCTATATAAAATAGATGAACAACAAATTTACTCTGTACAGCACAGGGAACTATATTCAGTATCTTGTAGTAGTCTATAATGAAAAAGAATATGAAAAGGAATATATGTATGTATGTATGTATGACAAACACCAGAAATTACACAACATTGTAAGCTGACTATACGTCAATAAAGAAAATGGGGGGGGGGCGGGGAAGGAATGCAGTTTCAAGGACAACTAGAAAAAACACTTCCTGAGAATATGCACCACATGTAAATCAACATCAAAACATCTTAGATCTTTGAGGATTTGTAAAATCCAAGAAAAATGTATCATATGAACATTTAGAAATGTGCTCTAGGTTAAAAATCTCAACTTTAAATGGTGAAACTGGGTTACAAACAATCTTTACACAATTTCAAAACGTTCTCGATTATGGTTCCTTAATAAGAGTTCCTCTCTTTAGTTCTTCCTTTCTAAAAAAAGGGGAAAAAAAAAGCCAACTCTTTTCAAACGCACACTCCCCCCACGTCACACATACACACAGAAATGGAGGCTGTGAACGGAGGCAAGATCATTCTCAGCCTGGGAATCAATCTGATTCTATTTTCTGTCGGTAAGGTTCTTTTTTTCTCCTCCATTTTATTTAAATCAATTGCTATTTTTTGCCTGATTCATTTATATTTTAAGCCCCAGTGGATTAATTTTTAAATGTATAACATTATAGACATTGTCTAAGGTGATAAATTTCCTTTTTCCTCAGACAAAGAGGTAATAAATAACTGAGAAAAATTTCAGATGAACATTGAAAATTCTCTTTGCTATTATGCTGCTTTGGAGAAGAGCATCTCACTAAACAAAGGGCTGAAAATATTCATAAAATCACGTGCTAGTCATCAACAATTTAGAGCCCGTTCAGACAGATTCGCTCTGTACAAAATAATACTTGATGAATATTTTTAAAGCACAGCATTTCTGAAAAGCGGAATTTCTACAAATTAAAGTGCTTGTCATTAAAAAAAAAAAACTGCAATGGCTCCCTCCTTGGAGAATAACCATTCCATAACATACCTATTTTTTAAATTCTGCCTATACTTGTTTTTCCTCTATGAAAGAGAAAATGTTTCCTACATCACAGTTCATCACAGTTCTCATAAATTTAACAATTTCAGATTTGCTCACAAAGTTTGGGTCATAGGGCAGGAAAGGGAGCAAGAGCTCTTAAAATTATTTTTTCCCATCTGTAAAGAAATAGATCAAAATGTTAACAGTGATGGGGGCGGTGCGAAAAAACTATGGGTGATATTTTTTGTCCTACTTTCAGTAATAGTCAATTTTTTCCCCAATAAGTACATATTACTCTTATAGACTGTTTGAATTAATATGATTTTAAAGAAGAATCATTATCTTTGAAAGATATATTCTAAAAGATGTGCAGATAATGTAGCCGGAATTTGCTCCAAATAGTCTGGGAGTGAAGGAACAAGCAGGGCAGAGGGCTGGAACCAGACTGGGCGGCAGCCGGGTGACCGCGGGGAACTTGCTGTGCTGGCGGCTGCTTCAACATATGTTCAGAATTTTCCATAAAGATTTTTTTAAGTATCAAAAATTAGTTTTCTACATATTTTCTACCTTGGTCTTCAACAATAGTAATCTTTTTTTATTCCCTCCAGCAACGAGATAAACTTTGAAGGTTTTCAGAAGGTGCTGTGCTTTAAAAACAAAAACAAAAAAACAATCCTACGGAATGTGATTCTTTAAGAGAAACTTTTCAGGGGAGTGGGCTGTGGTGTGACATGTTATCTACACCTCTTTTTCCGCTAAGACATTGCGAAAGTGGCTGGGGGCGGGAGGTTTGGCTCACAGTGTCCTCAGCCTGGCTATCACAGGAAACCACTGCAACTGGTTTTCTCCTACTGGGGCTAACGGAGGGGAAGTCAGAAATGAGCGGAATGTGAAACTCCTAAGTTGCAAATACGGATTTTACCCGCCGGAGCGTTAGTTCTCCAAGAGAAGAGTTAAAGGCAGTTTAACACTGCCTCTTAAAGGCTCTGACAGAGAACCTGGGACGGGGGACACTGCTGGTCAACTGTGACGTTCTTGGCAGGCCCACCTCCATTTCACATTTCCCATGCACAGTGATCACTACACCTTTAAAGTGCTTCTCTGCTTCTAAGGTGACTGAGTCTGGGTAGGAGACATGCAGCTGTATTTATCAGACTTAGGAGTGAGAAGCCTGGTCTTCAGGGGCCTCTACCCTCTCATCTGGTTGATATTTATCAGGTCACCAAACAGCTCCCAGCTCATCTTCAATTGTACAAATATTAAAATTAAAACACGGTGGGAACAAATTTGCACTACAAATGCTATGATTCTAGTTTTAACTTTTCTTCTCCTCTGGATAGGTAAGAAAAATGTTAAGCGACAAAAAGCCCATCTGAAACTTAAGCATCAGACCCCTGGCACTACTTTTCAATTTCACTTACAGGAGCAAAGGACAAACTCAGACAAATAAGACCACTTGGAAACATATAACTAGGCAGAGTCAGACTGAAAACACGCAAAAATTCTGATTTGTCTCAAGCAATTCTATTTCACATAGAGCTTCCCTTGCCCCAAAGAGGGCTGAGGGCAGGCCTTTCAATTTATAAACACCTGAATGGCTTTCCAGCTTCACATGCCTGGAATCAGAAGGCCAAGGTGGGGACCCACCGCTATGACATGGACGCAGCATGTAGTGGAGAGAGCACTGGCTTGAGTGTCTAGTTCCAGCCCTGCCAACAGCTTGCTGAGATGCCCACACTTATCTCTAAAATGGGCATGTGGCACAGTGGGAACAGGAATAGTGGTGGGAGCAGAAACAGCTAACTTTTATTAAATACTAAGATTCAGGTAAGTAAATGCTTCATATGCATCGATGGCCTCACTTAAACTTCTTGCTAAACCAACGAGGTGCCCAACACTATGCCCATTTTGCTACAGACCAGGGAACTAGGAACTGGCAGAGTTAAGATTTAAACTCAAGTGTGTTTTCATGCTCACAATACTGCTTATCAAGTAAGATGAAACCTACAAGTGACTACAAAGTAGTGTGCAAATGCCAGGAAGAAATCCAGACTGCTGGGCCCCAGCACCACCAGCTTTAGGCCTCTGCTCAGTAACCAGCAACCGAAGATGCTGTAGGTTAAGCCAGGGCTGTCTTCTCCCAGATATACACCTTGCCTTTTACAATGCTTCCCACTGGGACAACCACAAAGGAACAATTGTGAACTGCCATGAGTCCCTAACAATCACAATCTCCACAAGGCATAAAAAGCAAAACAAAAAAACCTCTGCTGCTCACGTGCTCAATCACCTGCCATGACATCTGCATGAGGGGCTCTGGTACCTGTTACCACATCAAATACAACACTCCTATGAGGCCAGGGGTACAGATGAGGAAACAGGCTCTGACAGGGCAAGTGGTCTGCACAGGGAGATCAAAGGAAAGCCCGTAAGTACATCAAAGTGCACACATGGACCCCGAACTGCTGACTCTGGATCTGCTGCCAACTCTGCTCGTGACGATGCTGATTCCCAGGACCTCTCTGGGGCTGCCTTCAAGGACCAGACATCACAGCACACCAGCAGGCTGCGGTCAGGAAAAGTGAGGAACACAAGTGTCTACTTCTTTCTATACAAATTTTTTTATTGAAGTAAAGTTGATGTACAACACAAGTTTTAGGTGTACAATATAGTGATTCGTAATTTTTTAAGGTTATACTCCATTTATGGTTAATATAAAACACTGGCACCATTGTCTACTTTTACAGTCTTGTTTGTGCTGGGAGTGAGGTGAAAAAAAAAGCAAGCAATGGGTTTCAATAGGTTCCTCTGCTCCAAAACGGTGATAAAGCAGAAGCCACTTGACATGGATCATCCGCTTCCTCCCACAGGTGCTGCAGGCGACTGTATCGTCTCAATCTACCAACCGCCTTATCTGGACGTGAACTACACCCAAAAGCCCGTGACCATGCAGTGCTCCTTCTCCACAGCGGGGTGCCCTGCAGAGCAACCAACAATCCTGTGGTTTCGCTACGGCGCTCACCAGCCTGAGAACCTGTGCTTGGATGGATGCACAAAGGAGACAGACAAATTCACAGTTGTGAATTTGGCACAGGACAAGGTTTCCCTCACTATAAACAGGGTGGCTTTCGATGACAGTGCCATCTACATCTGCGGAGTAGCGTTTCCCAGCTCAGCGGGACCGAGAGCTAAGGGGACCGGAGGAGGGACGGTGCTGGTGGTAAGAGGTCAGTCAAGGTTTTACTCCCGTACACAGCATTCTGCTCAGCCCTCAAACGCGTTACCTGCTTCTAATGCAGAGATGATGAGATCAATTTGCTAACCTTAATACCGGAGTCAGTGAAGCACGTGATCTGCACACAAGCCAACGTGAAATTTGGATTAAAGAGCTACTCCGACCCCATCTCCCAGCCTCCACAGACACAGTCAGGGTTATGGCAGGTGCCATATTCCCTTCCAACGTCCAGACTTTAGTACTGAAGGCTGACCAACTATATCCTCCTTTCTGTTTATCACATTGATTGAAATGTGATGATTAACTATCAGCCTTGCCAGGAACTGATCTGGCACTGCGCCATCTAGAACAGAGCAGTTGAGAGGCGTAAGTTATCCGTCAACTGGACCCAGAAATAAATATGCATTCGGGAGAATAAACACAAATTTTAGGAGAAGCCACTGGGGGATCCCTGACCCTACTCCCTCCGCATGGACAGAGAACAAAAAGGGGGTCGGTGTGGCTCTGGCTTCTTGAGATTTACTAAAATCCATGACACTTTCATGAGGATACTGAACTTCAGCTAAGTTCTATAAAGTAAGAAATTAACAAATTTCAAGAAAAAAAGCTTCACATGATTTTGGGAGAAAGATGAGAAGGGCAGTACTCCGTGCTTTGTTTGGATCTCTTTTCTTTAAAAAAAAAAAACTCTAGTATGATAAGCCCTGAGATCATTAAAACATAAACTCAAGTTAACCACCTTTTGGTTTTAAAATAGGATTTTAAGGAGCCTGGATCGTCCTGTCTTGTAATCCTTATTTTAGTGTTCTAATGGGCTTTTGATACTCCATTGTCATTTAACCTTAGTTTATTCTTACCTGTAAGGTACATTATAAATGACCTAATGCACATAAAGCACTTTTAATGGTGCCTGGCTTACAGCAAGTACTCAATAAATGTTAGCCACAGATATTAAAACAAACACATGACAACTCTGGAGATTAGTATGCATTAGTCTTCTATAAAAAATATTAGCCAAAAGAAAAAATGTTCGGTAAAGAGAAGACGGTCTCTAACCTGCAAGCTCACATGAACAGACATTCTACTCCAGGAGTGGAAATGAGCTCACTGCTAAAAAGACAAGGTAATTTCCTGCCTTTTCTACAGAGCTCCTAATTTCACACTTGAAACTTTTTTTTAGTTTTACAAATACATTTTTGTTGGTTTCACAACAAAAATGTATGTTGTATAAATTGAGCTCACAGGATAAGCACCTATGGGATATTTAGTTGAAAAGTACAAATTATTCAGATAATGATTACAAATCTAATTGGAATTTGTACTTCAAATAATCAGGTACTTGAAAACGCGGTGTTACTTCATCCCTACATGGAGCGCAGGACACTCCCTGCAAGGAGGGGGAAATTCAGAACGTGCAAGTGGATTCAATAATGCCACTTCCAGAACCTCCTTAGAAAGAAGGGGCACATGTAGCAATGCCTGCCCTGTAAGTGTGCAGCGAGCACTAAGATCCTCAGCGCGCACCTTCTCAGGTTCTTTCACAGACGGCACTATTCAGCCATGTGTACGAAACAGTTCAAGGTTAGAGATTCACGTGGGAGAGGATCTTAACTCCATAAAGAGACTCTTGGTGACATTTGTACATCATATCTACTCAAAGAAATTTTAAACACTCTTGAACAAACTGTCTTGAACTGTTTAACTTTAAGCAACACCTTATATAAAAAAGGATTCTTAGCGTTATGACAAATAATTAACTCAATTGTTAAAAATTTTTAGTTTTAAAAACAAACAACATTTTCGGCATAATACATTTAAAGGCTTAAGGAACTGGCTTTAACCATATCATATACTTGAGTGTTTTCTGAATTAACAGACCCTGGGTAAATTTTTACATGAATAGCCACATAGAGTAAGTTTATGTTTCTCCTCTAACATGTAGTTTCAGTTATACTTTACATGTGTTATTTGCAATAGTACGTTTCAATATTGACTGTGGCTCTTTCTGTGCCTGTAATTAACAAAGATACAAAGGTTCTCAGCAAGGAACTCTTAGCACCGACGGTTCTCTTATCGCTGCTGTGTGTCTACGTCACTGGTGTATTCGGGGTCTTCATCGTCCTCGCCAAAGTAAGTCAAATTGCTTGCACTGGGTGTCCCTATGGCCTTGAATATTATCATAAGGAAATAATTTCCATCCCTCCACACACTGGGAGTCTTGGAAATGAGCTCACCTAATTAACACCCTCCTTTGCATCTGCAGAAGAGGTCTACAGAAGAAAGCACAAATTTTCTTCACTGAGATTATTATTAACCAGAGTACATGATTCACAGGGTTTTCTTTTCAAAACCCAGTAATATGAGAATAAGAGATCCTTCTTAATAACCATCTTTCATGGTATCTTTCTGCTGGAAGGGGAGGAGGGTTACTGTCATCCATGAAAGGCCTAAGGACAGTCTTTAAGAGAAAAAGTGGTTAACAAAGAGGTCAGAAACTGCCTTAAAAGATTTTTAAAAGGCCTAAAGGTCTTGAAAAAGAATATCTTGTGGCTGTTCACATGCTATGAGAGGGGGCATGCTATATGTTATATTAGGATTACTATGAATCCTACAATCAGTAACAGTTTGAACAATTTTATTAATAAAAGCATCTCAGAAATGACACAAAAATTAACTAGTAATGAATATTATTTAAATATTAAGTTAGTTTTACCTTATTATGCTATGTGATACCTGCCATAATGTTTGTGAGTGTATAATATGTCTTATAAGACTTTTTTTTTCTTCCTGACAGTCAAAATCTAACACTCTAAGAAAGAAAGAAACAGAGAATTCACAAAAGGTACAGACTAATATTTGTAAAATATCTTTCAAACTGGTTCACTGTAACTATTTCAAATCCAAAATAATTTAAGAAACATCGAACATCATGGTCACTTTCAACCACAGATACTGTTTCCTACTGTTGAGAAAAATGATCAACTCAAGTGGTAAAATATGATGTAAACAGTTTCCAATCATAAATTCTACTTGATATACTCAAAATACAAGAGTTAACTGCAGGTACAGATGTGCTGGCTGGGGGCTAGTTTCTGTAACTGGTGGTAGTAAAGAAAGAAGAGGTCTCAGATGATGTGCAGGAATCAGCTGCTTTTAGTCCTGAGAGAGACACATTTTTTCCTTATTTGTATTTACAGAAAAAGAGTGCTCGGCGTATTTTTCAGGAAATTGCTCAAGAACTATACAATAAGAGACACGCGGAAAGAAGCCAACAGCCTGTAAGTGTAAAAATATCCAAAAGATGTAATACAGATATAAAGCATGTTTAACTTAAAAAAAAAAAACCTAAGCTGCCAATAAGCTGTCGATAAGTCAAATTTTCCTTTAGAAGAGTCTGAAAGAGGACTTTCACAAAGGCATTTTTATATAGAACCTGCTTTGATAACTACATAACAGAGGTTATCTGATGCATTAAGTAGACACCAGGCTGGCATCTTAGTGACATGGAATCTTTCAGAAACACTGGATACAGGCAGTGTTTTTAATACAGACAAGGATGCTTTTGTGGATTGAAAGCTACTTTGCACAGTATCTTGCATGCAGTACTAAGTATTAAGGAGATGCTGCAAACATTTGTGGATCAAATTATACAGAAAAACCACTTGTTGCTAATAAGGCAGAAAAATTCACATTAGAAAAGATGCAACTAATGAAAATTTAAAATGAGCATTTCTTCAGTCTTTGGGGTTGGAATGATGGGGGAAATAATTTAATATTGACTATAACATGTTCTGATGGTGTTTCTTTAAAGTCCTATAGAAACAGGTTTTTCAAAGAAGATGTTGTTTTAGAGCTAGAAGTGCAGATGGTTTCCATAACACATGATCAAACTGCTCAGATTTAAATTAAAATGTATACAAAATAATGAACTTACATACTAGTAGAGATATTTTTCTATTAAAAAGCAGCCACGAGGCCAGATGAAACAGAATTCTGATATGAGGTGTTCTTTAAAATCCAATTTTTAAAAAGGATTTTCTTGCTGGAAAGAATATTGTCTTAAGTAGCCACTTCATCCTTCAATGTATATACAACACATAAGCAAGTGGTTTAATTACCTAAGACGCCACTCTGAATAATTAGAAGTGCCTGCTCATACTCTATTCATATTGACGCTGGGGCATCTTTTTCAGCAAGGAGGCCAAGTTAAGGTCTGAAGAAAGGGCTGGAGGTGGGAATTTTAAAGTTCTAAGTCAGGGCTTTGACAATGGCATCTGAACAAGAAAATTATTTTTCAGTTCCCAAATCTTACTCCAAATAAAGAGAAAACGGCAACTGGACCTTTAAGGTTACAGGAAGGGGACTTACGACCCAGGACACAAGATGGCGCTGTGGTTTGTACACTGCTTGCAGCATGGTGTCATTGGTTATGTAACCTTAAATATGGCTTGTTATTTACTATTGCAGGAGAAAGACAATACTTACGAAAACAGAAGAGGACTTTCTAACTATGAGATACCATAGAAATCTTTTAATTTTCAATTAAGTCACTGAAAATCCAACTCCAGAAGTTATGGAAGCGTTAATGGACATACACCCATCAGGGCTTTAAAAAAACAATTTAAGGTAAATGGAAAAGACCAATGGCTAAAAGAAGGATGCCATAATATAGGAAACTATTGGTGACAATAATCACCAAAATACTTTAAAGCCGAATGTAACTGAAAAGTATTTTCCTAATTTGCTAAGAGAATTCTAAGCAAACATCTTCAAAAACTTTTAATTTATGTCATATGTCCTAGATTTGTTTCATTCAACATACGAGATGCATCACTTGATGCCTGATACCTGAAGAAGATCTGAAGTCATACTGTGTGCCTCAGTCTTAAGTGGAAGAACTGTCTTCATTGTTTGTAGAAGGGATAGGCCAATTAGACTAAGTTGGAAAGGAAGGAGGAATGGAGGGAGAAAGGAAAGTGCCAGAATTTGAGTTAGAGAGAAATCATCTTGAAAAGTATTTTGGAGCAAACTTCTTTCGTCGGGTACTGCACTGGGGCAATGGTTTAAAGCACATTTTCCTGCGAGGATATGCAAAATAACTTACATCATGCTGCCAAAAAAAGTGAGACTAGAAGAGACTCGAGACTAGAGTCAGAATACAATGACTGAAGTATAGAAAATCCAACGCAGAAGGTTAAACAGAGAAAACCTCAGAACAAATAAGCCACAACAGACCCTAGGTGTCAGTCTTGTGCCAAATAACAGCACCAGGGAAGGATTCAGCAATGCACTGTACTTGACAATGCCTTTGCAATATTGATTTTTAACCAACTTAGGAGGGAAATAACAGTTAAGGGCTGGGTACAGCAAGAATGTTTATGGAATTCATTACCCTTCACTAAGAAAACATGTTATGGACTGTTCTCTGAAAATTACTTCTGTGTAAAAAAAATCTATTTAAAGTGCCACAAGTATACGTTCATTATTAAATCTACTATGTTTATTTCATTAAAGCGTTTCTCTTATACCAGTATAAAATGAGGTGTATTCTTATTTTTAAAAGCCAGATCAAATTTAAAATATTTTAAGATCCCTTTGAAAGTCTTTTGTACTGACGGTTTAAATCAGTGATCTCTAATCTTTCTAATCACATGTACCAGGAAAAATGGGAAGGGAAGTGGGGGGAGCACTAACCTCATTTTATTTGCGTGTATGATGTATGTATGTGTGAGTGCACATGCATATGTGTGTGTTTTGCATAGTGTATGCATATATGTATGTGAGTATATGTGTATACACAAAAACAGACATTAAACAATTGGCATAAAAAGGAATAAAACTGCTACCATTTTCTTTCTGTATCCCAAAACAAATTGTCTGGTGTACTCCCTCCACTTCCAGACCACTGGCCTGGCTGAAATCAAAGAACTTCTATACCACATGGCAAAACAAGATAAAGCACTTAACAGCATCCAGGTGAATAGAAGTGTCGGCTTTGCTCATTCCCTCTTCATTTCTGAGAGTTGCTTCATTTTGGTACTTCCAGGGCTGAAAATATACTGTTCTTTGTGTAGCTAACAAGGAAACAAAATCCCTAAGATAAACTCATATTTGATTCAAAATAAACCTCTCCCAATACAATCAAGGACTCTGTTTCAAAGACTGATTTTTAAGCTGAAACTTGGAATACACTCTCCCAAGTAGTTATATTCCCTCAGGTTATATATGAGTGCCTGATGTATATATAATATTCATTCTTTTATTCATCCGTCCAGCCAACAATATTTATTGAGAGCTATACCGTTATATAATCAAAGGCCTCTTTTGCATGCTATCCTTGGGTTTCACTGAACTTATCCTTGCCTGGGAACCTCCCCTTGTTGACACCTTCATGCTTTTGCTTATGTTGTTCCCCCTGCCTGGTAAAATGCCCCACAGATACAAACACAGTTCAAATGTCACATCCCACCTGAACACTTCCTTAACTCCTCCAGCAACTAACGGATCATTCCTTCTCTAAACCCAGACTACTTTGTCATGTTTCTTATCAGACTATCCTACCACTGTTTGTTTACAGTTTCTGAACTATTCTGTATTTTTTTTAATTGGAGTATAGTTGATACACAATGTTGTTTAATTTCTGGAATTCTGTATTTTAAAACAGGAAGCACAAGTCTCATTTATCTTTGTATTTCTACTGCCTAGCACTGCCTGGTACATAGTAGGCTCTTAAATGTCTTTATATGAATGCAACTGAACAATGTTTCTATAGAAAAATATTTTTTCAGCATTTCAACTGATATAATGAAGCACACTTCACTCCCTGGACATTGACCCTCACCCTTCTTCATAAGGACTGTTCACTGAATCCCTAACATATTAATTTTTCTGCTATCTGAGCATCTAGAATTTTCACTGGAAAGGATTAAGCTATAGCTTTCTGTTTAGATTTGCATTTCCCAAGACAATGAACAACCTGAGGAGAAAAACAGACAAAGACATAATTCTAGTGTATACACACCCTCCATTCTAGACAAGAGCACTTAAACCACATACCAAAAGGTGTTAACATTTTCAGAGTAAGTAATTTCTTTCTCTCCAATATGTAAGACCTGAGAGAGTTTAAAACCCTGGGCATATAGTTAAGCCTCTGTGGAGTCAAGTCACATAAATCGATGGAGAAGGCTCAGATTTTGAGACCAAGTTAAAATGCAAAAACATTGACAAATACTGCAAAGTGAAGAACTGTGAACAAATATAATCAACGAAGCCACAAATAAAGCCAAAGTAACAAAATAAGGTGCAATGAAATCAATCTAACATGTATCAACCACCAATACTGATCCGGACGTGACTGGGCACTACTTTCTAAATTACATTATTTAATCCTCACAACAAACCTCAAGGTAGGTATTAGCCCCATCTTTACGGATGAAACACCAAGCTTAATGGGAGGCTCAGGTAATAAGGGCTGACCCATATTTCAAATACAGCTCAGCCCTCAAAGCCCATAGTCTTTGCACAAAGCAGTCCTGCCAGAGTCTTCTTTATTTCTATTTAGACTGATGGGAGCTTTAAGACTGAAGATGTCTAATTTAACCCGAACGATGACCCTGGAAGAAAGTGAGAAGGCTGCCAAGGGCTACTTCTTAAAAAGCACAGTAAAGAACTTAGAAATTACTTTTTACAAAGCCAGCAGAACACAAATACCAGAACATGATACAGTTAACATCCTCCAAATAAACAAAAGACTAGAATCAGACCAAGTATCATTTATCAATAATACTAATGGCAATGCTTTTATTCAGAGTTATTATAAATTTAATCTAGTGATGTGTTACAAAAAGACTATCCGCTTGAGCCCAGAGATTCAGGAGCAGATATGCATTAGTACTATTAATTTAATAAGCCAACAGAGAAAAAACAGGATGACTATCTAGACAGGTGTTCAAAACACAGGTGACAAAATTCCACACTCATGCCCGATTTTTTTTTAAGCTCTTAATAAAACAGGAGTTTTTGAAAATATATATTTCAAGCCAAACAGCAATCTCAGGCCAAAGACAGCCATCATATTTAAAACATTTTTCATGAAAATCAAAACAAAAATGCCCACCACTCTTTTCTTTTTAACATATTCTGGAAGTAACTACAAATTCACTTGGACCAAAAAGAAAGTCTAAAAATGAGAAGAAAATAGCAAAACCATTTGAAGATGTTATAACTGTATTTTAAAAAGCCCAAGAGAAATCAATGGTGGAAACTACTGGAAACACTAAAATAATCCCATAAGGTAATAAACAAGGTTTCAAAATGGGTACACACACAAAAAATTGCTTCCGTATGTATGCATAATATCCACCCTAATATATGATGCAAGAGCCATTTGAGACAGCATGTTTGAACCTGTAGGACACTATGCTAAGTGAAATAAGGTAGACATCGAAAGATAAATACTATATGATCTCACCCATGTGTAGAATTGAAACAAGTCAAACTTGTAGGACCAGAGAACAGAATGGTGGTTGCCAGGAACTGGTGGGTGGGGAGAAAAAAGATGTTGGTCAAAGGGTACAAACTTTCAGTTGTAAGAAATAAGTTCTGGGGATCTATAGTTAATAATACTGAACTATATACTTTAAATTTGCTAAGAGAACAGATCGTAAGTGTTCTCACCTCACACACACACAAAAGGTAACTATATGAGGTAATGGGTGTGCTGATTAACTTAACTGTAGTAATCATTTCACAATGTATATATATGTATATTAAATTGCCACTCTGTACACTTAAAATACAACAAACTTTTACTTGCCAATTATATGAAGCTGAGAAATAAATTTTTTTTAAATATGATGAAAAAAATTTAATATCACACACCATTAGAATAAATCTAACAAGACTTATGCAGGACCCTTCAGAAGAAAATTTTGTTACTAAAGAACATAACTGAGTAAATTGAAAGATACATCCTATAATTTGCCAGGAAATACTCCCGAAATTAACCTGTAAACTTAATATAGGGGAATTAGGCAAGCTAGTGCTAAAGCTGATCTGTTAAATAAATAAGCCAAGAAAAATCTAAAAGGAACTGATTAAGGAGGACTAGTGTTATGATATTAAAATGTATGACAAAGCTACAGTAATTAACGTAGTTTGGTACTGACACACACACAGAGGGACAAATCTTAATAGAACAGAACCAAACACATACAGGACTTTATGATAAAAGTGACATTCAAAGCACTGGGGAAAAGATAATTATTCAATAAATGGTGTTAGGATCACAGTGTAGCTATTTGGAAAACTCACTCTTTAACAAGCAGCTTCACTCCTAGAAATGCATCACACAGATAACCTGAAACCTTATTTCCTTCACTCTTTTCCCTACGTCACCCTCTAGGTGAGGCCCTTCCCTTTAAAATTACAGCACCTAAACCCAACCCTAACTCCACGAGGCCCCTTTCTTGCTTTTATTGTTTATTTTTCTCCATAGCACTTATCACCATCAATACGTCATATGTTTGCTGTCTTTCTTAGTAGAAAGTAAACGCCACAAGGACAAGGGTATTTGTATGTTTTCTGCTCACTTATCTCGAGCATCACTCAGTAAACGCTCTTTAAATGAACAGAGCTATTCTGTGACATAGGAGTATCCCTTCCACCTTCACTGTGAGCTCAGTCCCACAGTGCACAAGCATCAGGGCAGACTCCCTCCCGGGACCCGCATCACAATGGTCCTAAGGCTGGGCAGGGGCACAAGCCTCAGTCCTTGCATCTGAAGTGTGATGTGCCAGGGAGATTCTGGGATAGGTTTCCCTCACTTAGAAAAATGTATAGGAGAAAAATGCCCCTTTCTTTCCAAGACTTTGTCATGCCTGCACATGACGCTGGCACTGCATCAGCCGTTCCGTAATTGTGAGGGGAATGTCAGCACACAGAAGGGGAAGAAACGAAAGCAAGCCTCAAACTTCAGTGGACACTTCCATTACTGAATTCACCAAACTTGGAATCGTTTTTCTAAAATAAACTCTTAATTTTCAAAAGCTACTTTTAGTTGCTCCTTCTGTTTCTTGAAAGAGCATCCTACTACCTACTTGCAGGTGTGTAAAGACTTGCCTAACAGTGTTCATTTCACTATTATTTATAAAGCAAACTGCCAGTATCTAAAAGTATGTCAACAGGGGCCTCCTCAAGTCAAGTTACCGTATGTCCCGCAGTGTGCTGGTAAATGTTTACCAACCAGCCAGAAGGGAGCGGCTATTTGTGGAGTCTGCCAGTTTCCGTGGTGTAGGTACTCATCGTGGTCAATTTCAATAATGGCCAAGTTTAACAACCAGTTCACTAAGTTCCTCCCAATATAATTAACAATCAGCTGTCACGAGCCAGTAAAACCAGCTCCAACACACCACTTACGTCCAGACAAGGGCGTAGATACTTACGTGCTGGTAAGGAATAATTTCCTAGGTATAATTGTATTTGCATAGACGATCTTTAGAAGAATTTTCAAGAAACCTGAACAAGACTGTGGAACTGGAGTAGACGAGAAACGTCTCATTATATATTCTCTTGCAAGCTGAGCTCTTTTTCTTTTGAACCATGAGTTACCTTTTTATAAAAATTACAATTTAAAAAAATTAAACATCACTGTTTCCATTACTGCAACATAATTCTTCTTTTCTTCATTACATACTTTCCCCTTCTTTGATACTTAAAACAATTCTCACTAGATTTAATAGCCCCTCACCAGAACTTGGTCAGTAAACCAAGCAGACTGAAATTAGAAAGATATATTTTGCATTTTTTTCCCCAATTTAACCTATGCCAACAAAATCACTGTGGTTCAATTTCAAGACGAATCAAAAAAATTACACAAGTAATTATTTCATCTACAACTGCTTTGGTTAAAAAAAATTAATTGAGCCAAGTATGCAAAGTATACTCAGAAAGCCTTAAAACAGCCCGGTATTCATGACCTCACACAGCAAGATCACTCTGCCCCTCATAGCCCTTACACAGTGTCACATGGAAATCATCAGGATCTAATTAACGACTCAGACAAGGGACGCACAAATAGAGTGCCACAAGCAGTCTACAAAACTTAAAGGTCACTAGAGGTCACCCACAGCAACAAGGTTTCATGTCTCAGGTTTGCTGTATGTCAAACATCAGCCTCCTTGGATTCAACAGTCAACTCTGTGCATCCACAATCAAGGAGCTTGTTTTCAGTCTTTACTGGCGATTGCCCTCTTGTCCAGTTTAACTTCCTCTCAATTTTTATGTCAGCAACACAAGGAAATAAAATCGTGGTTAGACTGACATTTCTTCTCTTGCTCTTCCACCTCCTGCTATGCCAGGAAGCAGCATTAAAGTTCCATCGTGTGGTTGCCCAACAGGACGCAGGAAGCCTGGGCCTTACAACCTGATGACTAGTGATTGCAATGCAGCGAGACAGAGCCGAGGTTTAATTACACAGGGAGCAGCACCGAAACAAGGTCGGGCTGCTGAATTATCAAGGACGACATTTACTAGGTTTTTCCCTGTACAACATATGTATGTGCTATATGGGCACTCACACAAAAAGCAGTTTCGCTCTTTACCATGACAAAGGATTCAACACAGGAATGTAAACAGATGGGGGAGGGGACATCTGCTTATCTGTTCTCCTTCCCACCCACCTATGTCTAAAGAATTCATTTTCCCCACCATCAACACAAATCTAAAACCATTTGGTAAATGTTAAGCATTAAATCAGAACAGACCAAAACCTGAGGGGGAAAAAATAAGGACAAGAAGAAATGAAGGAGCAAGTGAGTGGCGACATAAACCCCGGGTTATAAGCAAACATGAGCATTAGTCCTTAAGACACAGATTTTCACAGATACCTGATAACTATGATACTTGCAAAACATTAGTGGATTTCTCAAAAATGTCTGCAAGCTCTTACAGTTTCTGAACCCAAACTGAACAAGGCAGTAAAAGAGAAAAAGTAAAGATTCTAAAGTATTAACGTGTATTATTTATATAACAAATAATTTTTACATTACTGTACAATAACTTACAAAAATGCAAAAGAGGCTTAAAGTCGTAACTTTCAACGTGACCTAAATTGCAAACCACATAAACTAAAACCAAGCATGAATAAATGTGACTTTTGGCCTAAAGTCACAGTAAATATGAAGCAATATGAAATCAAACCATTTCTTCTGAGATATTCTTCATTCAGTATTGCTGAAGAGCAAGACATGGAATCAAGAAACCACATGTCACACAAAGAAATGATACATGCTGGGACATAAATGGTCTTCAAAAGGAAAAAACGGGTAACAACAACATTTATCATTTTAGAGTCTGGGACAAGAGATGTAAAATACTTAACAGCTATGACATTTGGCAGGTATACACAGATAGATTAAAAGACATCATTTATTCCTTGACTCAGCTCATAAGCTAAAAAATTAATGGTTCAGGCTCCATTTAAAAGCAGGAAATATGGACACATTTTAGGTTTTCAATCTCCAGCAGACAGATTCAGCTGAGTATTAATTATTACCACTGCAAAGGGTGTACTAGAGTTCTATAAAGCCACACTGAGATGAACATTAACCAAGGCGATACTTTACAGGGGTTAACTGTATTCTGTTAAATTCCAGGCTATTCTGAGAAATACAAGACCACGTCTAATTGTGCACAGCCCAGAATCACAAATACCAATAAATGTCAATGCTGGGTAACAGGCCAGTAAGTTGGTGACCACACTTACCGTTTTCCACGTAGGGATGAAAGGGTAAGACCAGGGCAAGGATGACCCTGCCTCTAGTTGGTTCCAAGACACTTCTGATATCTTTTAACAAAGTCAGGGGCTGATCGCAGCGGTCCAGCAAATTCAAGCAGCTGATGACATCATACTGGAACCCCGTATTCTGCCATTCATTTATGCCAAGTACTCTGGAAAAACCAGAAAGATACAAACCCCCTTAAAGACATCTTTTAAAATAATTAGATGCCAGTAAAGGTTCTAATTTTGTCTTCTAAATCAAAGTAAGTTCAAAATCTTCATTTATAATTTATATTTGCAGTAATAAAATGGCAAGGCAGAAGTAAGCAACTTATTTCTTTAAATTTAGCATTTCATCTATTTCCAAACCTCAAAACATATAAAATTTCCTTTATAAGAACGAACATGTTTAATAAGCGTGAAGATCTAAGGTGATAAAAATGCTTATGAAACTAGGGCATCAAATTCTTGAACAAAGAATCCTACTTTCTACACTCATTGGAATGTAATCACAGAATACATCATATATTCATGTTTTCTATTCCTAGGGTCCTATTTTTAAGACTGGCTAGGAGTGGTGTAAGATAATTTCCATTTACAAACAATGATCTCTTGAGCAAATCTCTGTTCCCAGGAGAGAGATACTATTTCATACTCTTGAGTCTTCATATCTAAATAATTATATAGAAAAAGATAAAGCACAGGACATCCTATTAAAACAGTAAGTGGAGAGCATTGTTAACACACCATTCTGAGCCCTCAATATCGCACTCACACACACTCTCTCTTCCTCATTCCTTCCCCTCTTCTCTCTCCCTAAGAACATTTCTAGGAAGTTTTACTCACAGAGGGGAGGAGTGCTTATATCAAGAGTCTTTGTTAGCCACGCCTTTAAGGCAATTCTATAAATTACTCACTCCTGCTTGGTTATACCAGTCAGAATGTGGTAGGTGAGGCATGTTATGATAGACAGGAGGAAGAGGAAACCGGAAAAAGCACCTTTGGTAAACAACTCTTTGATCATGCTGAGCAGATACAGTAGAGGTATCTTAGAAAATTCTAAAAGCATAATGAGAGCTGTTTAGGAAAACTCATTAGTATGATGACATCTTAGAGCATTTTTGTATAGCAGAGTAAAAAGGAACACAAACCACCCAGCTGTATCTTCTTTTCAATCTAGATTTTTTAAAAACTAAAGCCTTCCTCCAAAACAGCACTCTGACAAACTTCAAGGGTCTAGTCAGACTCCTTTGTTGCTTGAAATAAGTAGGGCATTAGGGCTCCTAAATCACTCTGTTGAACTGACATGACGACTGCAGTGATGATTTTAGAAACTGATTTAGCTCAAACTAGAGAGAAGATTCTACTTTCTGGATAAAAGAGTCATCAATTTCCTTTTTAAAAACTGAAATGAACAACTAAAGAAAGACTATTTGTATATTAATGCCTCAGCCAAACAGCCAATTTAAATTCATAAATTTACAAAAGACAAATTACATACCTGATTTTAAAAAACAACAAAATCTTAGGCCTATGTACAACGAAGCAGAAGTCAAACATCATCAGCATGTTTTCATCTAGAATAATCTTACTAAATCCATCTCAGAGTTATTCACAGATAGGTAGTTTCCATGTTGGTAATTTTGAAAGACAGAAACACATGCTCATAACAGAAAATTACAGCTTTAGTACCGGGACAGTTAAAACTATACCTACAGAAGTCCAACTTCACCTTCACTTCTGTTTTGTGATTTCTACTTGTAAACTCCATTCCACGATAAGACAAATTTATCGGCCCCACTCAAACTAGGCATTAGCCCAGGAATCCTAACAAGGCATTAGAATTTTCCTCTTCTTATGAGAAAAATGAAAGAAGTGACTTGTCCAAGGTCACACTGTAAATCACTGGCAGACTAGAAATTACACCTTGGAAACTCTCCTAATATGTTATTCAGGTCAATGAACTTGCTCCTTCCATGTATAGTGACAAAGAATCTGACAATCAGTCTTTGAACAAATGCTCCACCGTGATGGATTGAGAGTAAATGGTCATCACTTCGGTCTCCAGTATTTTTTCATTCAAAAAATAAAATAATGAGGATATTAACATGAGAAATAGAATTCTTAACTACAATATTTTCTTTTCTTTTTAAGAAAGATCCCATACCTACAGATAATGGATTAAAGTCAAGCATCTTTCAAATTTATATTAATGATTGTGGTTCTCTGGTGTCAAAAATGCATACACAATTTCTATTTGATCACCCACATGTGAATTGTATGTGTGGATTTCATTCCAAACCCATCCCCACCACCCTTGTTTCCTCCACCATCTACAAACTACCATTCAGATCATGTAAACTAATTTTCACATTAATTTTTTGGTAAAAGCAGACGGAGGAAGGTAAACATGCTGCCAAAATTTTTTCCTATGAAAACATAGGAAGATTTTCTTTTAATGCTTCGTCATGGAAAACAGTTTCTGTTTTATATCCTTTAAATAATTTCAAAAAAAAAATACATCTAAAACCAAGAAATATACCCCAAACCATGTCTACAAATTATACCTGTATTTCTTCTTCTGAAGCTGCCATATCATAGTTTCAGACAGCTCAGTGGCATAAATTTCTTCAAAATGAGGGCTCATGATTTTTGTGACTTCTCCATCTCCAGCACCTAAATCAAGAAGTCTATGGGTTTTCCAGTCTGGATTAATTTTAAGCAGTCTCTGAAACTGATCTGGGGAAAACACAAACATTGAGCCTCTTCCTAGCAACCTGGAAAAGAAAAAAGCACAATGGATGACTCTATACAACATAAGCACTCCCCCACAACATACACACGAAGTAGTGACTCAGCCTTTGGAACCTGCTGAAGTAGTTCAACAGCCTTTTGAATCTACAAAATGTTTATTTTATAAATTATATGACCAAAATATATAGTTTATATGATTTATGATTAAAAAGTAAAGTTAGTAAAATAAGAAAACATCTCCAGATATCATCATCTGTCTTTGAGGTTGCAAATAATACCCCAAAAAGAGTAGGGAAAGGAGAGGAATAAAAGGTGGGAAGGGAAGAATATGCAAGAAATTCAAAGATGAATGTGAAGAATTGAAGCCAACAAAGGAAGGAGATAGAAAGAGTAATAGAAAATATGTTTATCGGTTTAAAAAAACGACAGACCCACAGAATCAGACCACAACACTAGCCAATAAAACTAAGCAGAAAAAGCAAATAGAAAAAAAAAAGCCATTAGAGTATGAAACTGAAAAATGAGTGAGAAAAAATAGCTCTAGATAATTTTTTAAGAGACACTAGAGAAAAGAGGAAGAGAGGTCCTTGTGATATCAGTCAATTTGCATTAAGAAAGCAGATTCATACTTGTGTCAGTTTGTCCTATTATTCCTAAAATCCTACAAAAAAAAATCCAAAACATAGTAATGCCTTTGAAAAGAGAGGGGTTAAAATGGAGATGAAAGAGAGCTCTCAGAAAAGCAGCTGCAGATCAAACCGAGTCTCAGGAAGCACCATCTTAGGAAATAAAATGCACTCGCTGTTTAGGGCTTGTTTTCTAGCTCTCAAACCCTTGTTTATATATGGCAGGCGTTCTCAGACTTCCTTTAAGCAGCAGACCCCTTTCTTTATATGAAGTGGACATTACTTAATAGATAATGTAAAATGAGAGTACTGCTGAAATGAGGTCAGAGCCACTGCCAGCCCACCCCTAGGCTCTTCTTTGCAGCCTGAAGCAGCTCCTGGGGCGCTTCCTTTTCAGATCCTGAAAAAGTCTGAGAACCACTGGTCTAGGAAATGGCAGGGAGGTCTTCATTGTACTGCTGCTTTCTGGAAATAATCATAAAGCACAGCATGTTTGTTACACAGTGACTGGAAAGACATGTGTAACTTGGTGCGCCCAGCTGGTGAGACCAGTTTCAGGAAAAAATTAGAATTACAGAGTTCACATAAAACTCCCCATCCCCTCTCCCATTAAGGCCTTAGGAGAAGGTCAACCAAATCTACCAATGTATCTGCAGTAAATCTTCTGCCCCACAAAAATGCTAAAATGGGAGCGGGGAAGGCCAAAGGGACTTTTACCCACTACAACTGCCTCCCCAAGAAAACCACACCTCCTAAAAGACAAGGTGTTTTACAGCTCAGTAGTTCCTATCTTCTAGTAGGAAAACAGGCTGCAGAAAGATCTGAGAAAAGGATCTGAACTTAGTGAGACGGCTATTTAAAATTTCACACAGAAGCCAGAGTCAGAGCAAGGAAAAGTGACAGAGGTCGGAGGTCACAGGCTTGGGGGAATGCATACTTCAAATGCTGGTGTTGATCTGCCATAGGACCAAAAGTACGTTGCAAAATAGTTAATGACTTAAACTTTCCCAATTACAAAATAACATGCTCCCTCAGCTATCTCTTTGGAATCTAACGACCTTTGACATGATAATCATAACATTCTAGAGCTACAGGTCATCTGAGGTCAGAGCTCAGGTGTAAAGGCACCAGGCAGAGAAGTACTGTCCTATTTCCAAAGATCATGAACAACAGAGGCTACACAAAAAGATTTAAACTGTCAAAAAAAGGAAATCAAAATTCATCGAGCCCAGCATTTCTCAACCAGGATGGACTCTGCCCTCTAAGGGGCACTGAGAATAGGTGGGGAGAGTTCTGGGTTGTCACAATGACTTGGGGGTGCTACTGTCATTTAGTAGGCAAGGTCAGAAAAGTTAGACTTCCTGCAATGTGTAGGGCAGTCCATGTGTTTTTGGTGTGCAATAACCATCCTAGGTTCCCTGGCCACAGTCTAAGTTCCCTCTAGATTTAGAGTCCACAGAGGAGGCACACCTCCTTACAAATATCTTCCTTATAAAATAAACTCTGAAAATACCTGTCAAGCCTCTCTCTACTTGGCCCTCCCCTTTCCCACATAAAAGTCTGATTAAGTATCTTATCTTCTTAATTGAAGAAGGTTACCATAGTAATTATTCCTATAAGAGACAGCCACTCATGGTAATAAGCTACCATTGCCAGGGATGGAAAATACCAATGAGCTCAAAATTAAGCTTTCAGTTGAGGCCCGGACACAGGGCAAGAGATATTTTTGTTTTGTTTGGGGGTGGGGAGGATGAGGGTTATTCAAAAGGGAAAAAAAAGCAGAAGAGCTGTAGATAAGGGAAGTTAAAATAAAAGGGATTTATTAATTATATTGCCTCTCTTTGACAAAACTGTGAAATCCCAGAGCAGAGAATTTTAACCAGGAGCCAGTGGGGTAGAGGTAGGGGTTAAGTGGTTCAGAGTTTGAAATCTCCCCCAAATTATATGCAAAATGTTGAATGTAAGGACTATCTGAAGAGAGGATTTCTACCTTTTACCACTTTCAAAGAGGTACAGGACTCAAAAAGGTTAAAAGTCACTGCTATGGCGACTTGTCTGCTCTCCCAACAAAAATATACATGGTATAGAATAGAAATTCAATGCAGCCAATTTTAGAAACAAAATGTCAGACCAAGTTGTATAAACTCAACTATCAATACAAAAATAACAACTGTTTGCTGAAGCAAATTTAAGGCAATTTCGTATCAACAATGAAGAAAATCAAGTAAGATACCCTGAGAAATGGCTCAGGGTGCTTGAAAACATATTTAAGGACCAGATGATAGACTGAGGATCCAGACACTCATTAGATGCTGGCTCCAAACCTCAAGGGAAGAAAAAGTGGGCCAAGCCAGTGGTATTAAGCAGTCCAACAGGCTTTTGAAGGACTGAGCCCTGCTGCTTTTCTTTGATGTTCTGGATTTTTGGGCTTTGGGGATGTTAGAAAATCTGGCCAAGAAAGGATAAAAATATTCCTAGAGCTTTTTCCATAAATTTATATGAGAGAATCAACCACTCTAGGGATAGAGAATTCCACAATACATTCACAAAATTCTAGTGAGCCCAGAATTATGTAAGAACAGATGGAGGACCCTTGAACAAGCCACCATCCACTGCTGGGCTGAATCAGATCCCTCCCAAAAAGACTTGCTCCAGGGAGGTGTGCTTAAAGCAAATATCTCACTCTTCAGCCTGTGTTAAGGGCTTGGTTCCAAGTATCCTGCTTCTTTCTGATAGGTCAGCAGCAGCATAGACACCACCTGGGAACTTGTTCAAAATGCAGAATCGCAGGTCCCACCCCAGACCTTCTAACTCAGAATGTGCATTTTAACCAGATCCCCAGGTGATACCTGTGCATGTCAAAGTTGGGAAGCATTGTAATTCCCATCACAGAAATACACACCAATGAGGCTATTTATCAAGTTATGGTGAATTTAAAAAGCATAACTGCACAGGCTGAGACACTGGACCAAGGATTCTGACTACAAGTGCTGTAGCTGTAGAGGCAGTCAACATTTCAACAAGGTCACTTTTCTTTTTCCTTTTCTTTTTTTAGACCTAAGGATAAAGAAAAAAATATCCAAGATTCACTTACCCATTGATAGATGTTCTAGACATAAACAGGCTAAAAACAGATGACACAAAGGAGTGATATAATTGGATAAATAGCCAGCCCGATTTCTCAATGCTGTTGTTTAAGAAGATCTGTGTTCCTTGATCAAGGTAACTCTGAACAAAGACAGCCTGGAGTGATTCGCATAATTTCTCTCTGTTGCACACATACCACTAAAAAAAGAAGAAAAAGAAGAAGAATGAAAACATGTAACTGAAGCATCGTCTAAGAAGTCCAAAAACAAAAAACAAAAGATTAAATTAAACCTAAGATTTCCAAATTCTATAATCTCCTGGCACTCTGAGGATAACCATCATCTCTTATATTCATATGCCACCTATAAGGTACAACATACTTCCTCACACACAATTTCTCCTTTAATTCTCATAACCCTCAGGGTAGGGAGAGAGTGAGGGAGGAGGGAAAGGCTGGCAGTTATGCAGCTCAGTAGTGATGGAGCCAGGCCACAGTCCATGAGCTCCGCCTCCAGGCCCAACACTTCTGTCACTATACCCCCTGCAACCTGAGATCTAGGAAAGCTCGGGTGGCATCTCTCTCACTGAGATTCAACATAAGAAGGCAGTAACTACCAACATCAACTTTGTTTTAAAATAAGAAAGGTCATTCAATGCAATGATTTGACTCAAAACCCCCAAACAAATCAATGGCAGAGTGAGCAGCAGAATTTAACACTCCAGTGACCAGACTAAGCTGCCCTTTAGAAATATTGAGGTGTGCTTTACCAGGTCATAAAACATTCTAACAGACAGGAGCCAAATGTGCTTGAAAAAGATTAAGCAGTTACTTAAGGTCATACTGCAATCAATGAGAAGACAAAGTAGTAACATGCTAAGAACCAGATTTCCAGGAATAGGCTCTAAACAGAACACACTTTTTGAAACCAAAATTCAAGAGCCTCAACTGTAGATGAAATGTAATCTTCTATAATAAATGTTTCCCACTTTCAGTCAGAGTTAGTACACTAGAGAAGCGGGGAGGCGGACTGCAGGGTGCATCAGCTTTAGAGTCAGCCATACCAAGTCCTGGCTCAGCCATTCCTTATGTAGGCTCACACAAGACACTTAATCTCTGAGCCTCTGTAAATTCATCTGTAGACCAGAGATGTCACTGGTTTCTATTCTGGTAGGTTACTGAGAGGATTAAACAAGATAACACAGGCAAATCCTCAATATAGGACCAGACACACAAGAGACTCCTATAATAATAAGAGCAATGATATAAAGTCCCCTAACACGACCTGATAAATAAAAGTAAGTCCATTACGTACCATAATGAAACTGTAGAGTAGATTAGTTACTATTAATCTATTAGCTACTAAGAGACAATCAATTTCTCCCAATAAGGAGCCAAAAGTAACCTGCTTCCCCCGGCAAATATGACTATTCACCATAGGTGTCCCGTAATTGCTTGCACAACTGGTGGACCAATTTTACAGTCATCCTAAACTTGCTAAATACTGAATGAAATCTTGGGTAACATTCCTGACATTAACACTGAAAGGAACCAGTTATAAACCAACACAAAGAAGCAAACAGGCACATTAAAATTTTAAAGATTAACCAACCTTTTTACAAACCCTGTGCCCTGAACTGAATAAACTAAATCTTTCCAATTGTTGGCTGATCTGTGTTAATCTACCATTAAACACTGTTATTAAAACTGCTTGAACTTGAAACTATTTTTATTTTTCCCACTCTACTTGACAAGCTACGAAGCTTCTTACATTCATTGCCTACAATTTTCTTAGTCTGAAAATGTTCATGCTTAATCATTAACTAATTCTTACTACTCATTGTGCCTGAAGTTATGCCCCAGTGCAGGTCATAAACCATTTTTTATTATACTCCTGACCTCCTGGTTCACATTCTGAACTCTGTAATAAGAGGCCATTCTAACTTTTTTTTTTTAATTCTCTGAAATGACTAATCAAGATGAAAGCCATCACCTTGGTAATAGGCAATCAGGTACATTCTATTAATGTGGACAAGAAGTCATTCAAGTGGAACACAGAAGCAAAGAATTTGTTGGCATCCACTTGTAAATGGACAACCAGAACAATAACGGACTCAGACTTCCAGAACTAAGCAAGAACTGGCACCGTTAACTGCAAATAACGCTTTTAAGTGCCAAAAGGAAAACTCAAGTTTTTTAATAGCGTTTCTCTCAATTCATCAACATTAACACATGTGGTTGAACCTTTACTACCATACAAGTCTTTCAGAAAGAAAATGCTTACTGAACAGAATGTGCTAAGAATAAAAAGGCGCAATGCCCTTCTCTTTAAAGGTAAAGGTTAGAATCCATGTTCCTCCTGCCATTTACATGATACAAATGTCAACTCCATAGCAGCACTATCCATAACTACCAAAGAGTGGAAACAACCCCGATGTCCGTCAACTGATGTATGGATAAACAAGATGTAGTTGATCCATACAACAGAATATTATTCAACCATAAAATGGAATGAGGTATTGATTCATGAGACAACGGGGATGAACTTTGAAAATACTATGCCAAGTAAAATAAGGCAATCACAAAATGCCACAAATTGTACAATTTCATTTCCATGCACTGTCCAGAATAGGAAGATCCAGAGACAGAGAGCAGACTGTGGTTGCCAAGGGTGTGGGGAGATAAGGCAATGGGGAGTGTCTGCTAATGGATATGGGGTTTATTTATCAAGTGATGAAAATGTTCTAAAATTAGAGTGGCAATGGTTATGCAACTTTGTGAATATAAATTTTTTAAAAAGATCCAATGAGATTATGTTGCTATGTGACTCTCTTAAACAATAAAAAAAGACAGATAATTTTCCCAAAAAAAGAGATGAATTTTATGGTCAATTTTATGGTCATGAATTTTGTCTTGATAAAGTTGTTATTTAAAAAAAATATATACACACATCTTAATGTAGTTCGTATTTTGATCTTCCAGAAATTAAAAGTGGTTTGAAAATTTAAGTGACCAAGTAAACCTCTTTAAAAATGCCAACTTTTAAATGCAAATCTAATCGTGTCGCCACCCTGCTTCACAGAAGTCCTGATATACAAAATAATCAATATGGCTTACAAGGCCCTACATGGTTTGTCCATTCTGTGTCCACAGCCTCATCTCATGACACTCCCTACCAATGCATTACACCCAGCCACTCACCATGTCACACTTTACTCTTCTTTTTCTGGAAGGCTCTTTCTCAAGGCTGTTTCACATGGTATTTGCTCTGTCTCCTACATTTCCCATCACCCGAACCCACTCCTTGTTTACCTGGTTAATGTCTCCTCAGTAACATTCATAACCACTGAACTGAAAACTGGTATGTAATTGCGTGTTCAGTGTCTATATCTCCCCAGGTAGACGGGAAGCTCCATAAAAGGTGAGGGACAATGACTGACTTCAGTGTCAGGCACACACACAGATGAACAATAAATGTTTATCTGTCTAACAATAAATTATTCTTAAAAATCAAAGGCAGTCTAACAGATAAAATTCAGAGTTTCTAGCAAAATCCTAACGGGAACACAAGGATAACCATGGGGACAGCTGTCACCAGGTTTCCATCAATTTCTAAAACTCCAAAGTTTTTGCAAGGCCTAGCTTAAACTCAATTCTGCAAACAGTGGTTAAGCTACCCACCCACCACACAACTGCATCAGCACAGCAAGCAATGAAGGAAGACGTGGACTGGGCACCTACCCGTACCAGGCACCTAGCCAAGCGCCTCACCTTTCATTTCCCACCTCATCACTTCTGAATAAATGTGAAACCTGGCGTTTCTGAGCACTTCCAGCTCATTTAAGCTCCTGTTTTAGGTTCATATGATTTTATAAGAGTTTCTCTCAAAGAAGATTCTCTTTGCTTCACTCTATACCCAGTATGTCTCTCTGAGGGTCACTTTTAGAAAAGAAAGCAGGACTATTCTGCGCAATTAGACCGGACTGGATGTGTCTAAAGACAATCTGATCTAGAAAACAACTAAATTACTTTAGGGCAGGGTTTCTCAACCTCAGAATTACTGACATTTGGAGCACATAATCCGGGGGCTGTCTTGTGCACTGGAGGACGTTCAGCGGCATCCCCAGCCACTCCCCATCAGATGCCAGAAGCACTCCCCCACCCCCAGTTATGACAACCCTAAACATCCCAGACACTGCCCTGGGGTGCAAAGTCGGCACTGCTTAGAACCCCTACGTGAGCTTACCCAGGAAATTTCATAAGTGCTTCCTAACCATCCCAGCTCAACAGTGGTCTAGGGAAAATTAACAATGGACTCAATGGCCTCCAGGAACTTACATTCCAGAGAAGGGGAAAAATCAGAACCAAGAGAAATAAGTAATATCGTCATGATATTGGCCAGGATCTTCGGGCCTTAAATAAGTAGTCACCTTGCCCTTCAGACGTTGACAGAAAATCAGCGTAGGAGCCCCTGCAACATTTGGCCATCCCCCTGGAGTTACCTCTCTCTCTAGACAACCCAGCTTAAGTGAAAAGCTGTAATGAGCTCACACTAGGTGGCTGTCTGTAGGCTCCCACATGGGTTCAAACAGGGGTGTTCTTTGAACGTGGGCTCTGCAAAGACTACAGAGACAAAGGTGCGTGGGCAAGAACAAAGCATCATGCCCGTTAAATGTTCACATTAAAGAACCGGGTGCCAGCCCTACTGCAGGGCTAGACTCCTCAGCTGGAGATCACAGAGTCTGTAAAAGCATCTTATTAGCATCTTCCTTTAAAGTTCACTTGAATTTTGCTCAATCTAAATAAGCAAGGAAATCTTTTTTTTTTTAATATGGAATGCTTCACAAATTTGCGTGTCATCCTTGTGCAGGGGCCATGCTAACCTTCTCTGTACTGTTTCGATTTTAGTATATGTGCTGCCAAAGCGAGCACAGTAGGGAAATCTTTTAAATAACAGTGTCATCAAGCCAGAGTTATGCCATGCAGTCATCCGCTGATGCTAATGGTGAAGTAGGATGTGATAACTAAGCATAACCTCTTCTAAAAGATGTTACAGTAAAAGCACTGTTCCCTCTACTTTCAACAAGACTGTAAAGATACTAATAATTAGCCAAATAATAAACAGCCAAATCAGGTAGACATGAGTTTTGAATGTGTATCTGGCAGTATCAATTAACCAAAATAATGAAGTATTAGGTCATGTCTTATAGATTTCATTAAACGCATGAACATTGCCTAATCTTTACATCACCTTGTTTGATGGATCATTCCTTTAAAGTAGAAATGCATTTTTCCTATAAAATTATATTTGCTTATCAGATTGAGGAATAGAGTTAAAAGTTTTTCTGAAATTAGCTGAGTTCCTCAACTAGTTAAACACATACCATGTAACAGTCTTTTCTCCCAAAATACAAAGGACTTGAGCACATTAGTAGAATCGGAACTAGAAAGTTATTTTTAAAAACAACTTCCTCATTTTAGGTAATGTGGTATTATAAAAAAAATTAATATTTGTTCTTTATCCCCAGTTCCCAGCACAGAGCTCCTAAAAAGCTTGGGGAAACTCCGGAGTGATAAAAGCACCTTTTGTGTGCTCCAGAGATAACCAGGAGGGCAGGGTGGAACTTTCAGCTCCACCTGTAACATCCAAGGAGGGGAGAGAAGCTAGAGATTGAGTTCAACCACCAATGGCCAAAGATTTAATAAATCACACCCTGGTAATGAAACTGCCATAAAATCCCTAAAAGACAGGGTTCTGGGTGCTTCCAGGTGTCTGAACACATCGATGTGCTGGGAGGGTGGCTTACCTGGACAAGGCATGGAAGCTCTGTATCACCCTCTGCCCCCCACACCTTGCCCTATCCATCTGTTCCATTTGGCTGTTCCTGAGTTATACCCTTTATAGTAAACCAGTAAACGTAAGTGAAGTGTTTTCCTGGGCTCTGTGAGTTGTTCCAGCAAGTTATCTAACCTGATGGGGGGCTGCAGAAACCCCAGAATTTGTAACCAAGTCAGACAGAAGCGTGGGTAGACTGTGGACCCCCAACCTGGAGCTGGTATGTGGAGTGAGGGCAATCTTGTAGGAGGGAACCCTAAATCTCTGGGTTTACTCCAGGTAGTGTCAGAACAGAAATGAATCGTATGACATCTAGTTTGTGTCAGAGAATTGGTTGGTGTCAGAAGCAGCATGAGTAAGATTATTTTTTTCAACATTAAACTTAACCAAAGCAAGCACAAACTGGATGAAGGTCAGAACTTCGAGACTCTGTCCCATCTTTATCTAACTCACAAACTGCAAAAACTCCAACTGGGTTTTTTGCACTCAGCTATATAATTTCAGTGTCTATGCAAAGGTCCCTCAGAATGGGGACAGTATGCTATTAAGAAGGCAGCCTGAAAAAAAAAAAAAAGGGCTGCCTACTCTCACCGTCTCTCAGACAACAAAAGGTCTTCTAGGAGGGAGGTCATGAAACAGTGGGAAAAGCTGGGCCTTGAAACCAGAAAGTGTGGGGTTCCAAACCCAACTCTGCCATCCATCAACTGTGCTCATGAGCAAGTTTCATCTCTTTTAGCCTCAATCTTCTCTCTGTAAAATGGGGGTGCACCACCTACCTCCAAGAGTTGTTATAAGGATTAGAGAGGATAATATATTTAAAGTGCCTGTCACTTAATAGAAGCAGAATAACTTGATTTTCTTCCCCTTCCTGACCAAGGTCCACAAAAGCCAGTCAGAGAACTGAAGTTCAAGGGAATGCCTAAAAACCACACTGTAGGTCTGGGCACCCAGCCACTCTCAAAAGAAATGAGTAACCAAAGCATTCAGTACCACTAAAAACAACCAGAAAGGTTCCACTGAGGGGGCCCAGCAGAAACTTTCCTGCTACAGGGGGTGGTAAGGCCAAGCCTAACAACACTGACCTCCACAACTAAGGATTCAAAAATCACATTCTGAGTTCTCCAGTGCGATCATATCAT